GGGAGCTTTATAGTTGTCCATATTCCACTTGGTTCCCAAAGAAAGACTTCTGCTCCTTCAGGACTCGGTGCGGAGAGGATACAAACTTTGGCACTGGTAGCTCATTTGTCATTCTCAGTATTTTTTTCAATAAACCACATCTTGTAAACAGAATTAAACAGAACAGAACAACACTTCTTGCTTTACGCCTTGACTAATCCCATCCATTTCATAAGCAGTGATAGCTCCTGTAAAATGCAGCATTTATTGCCCTCGGAGCATGATCAGCAGGTAAGTGCTGTGACCTCTGCTGGTATCTCTGACCCTGTGCCAGGAAGTTGCAGTAGTGGAATATGTCTTCAGCTGTATTTTGTGCAAAGCATCACAACTCGGTAGCAAATCAAACCAGGACAGCAATGCCAGCAGCTGCCAGTTAGGACTTACTTAGTAGCTCTCGGTAGCTTCCACAATGAAGCATAATATTACCGACACAATTATCACTGGCCAGGCCAGCAGTTGTTCTAGTGTTTCTCTCCGATTTCACATACCTACTTAGAAGACCATTTCCCCAGTCCCCCACTGCAATAACTTATTTCATACTTACACAAAACTTGAATTTAGTGGAAACAACACATATGGCTTAATAAAATAATTCACACAAACACAAGGGCAAGAGGCTCAGCCAGACTCTAGTTAATCAAAGCCAACATGCTCTAGGTCCATTCAAAGCATCATTTTCCTTTTTTCTCTTCTCATTATTTTCACAGATATTAATGACTTTAAAATAGCTTGTTTCCAAATATTAAGAAGGCCAAAGGCCAAACCCCTGAATAAGCAAACACTGTGCAAAACCAATCATACGTGCTCCATCCATGTGGCCAACTTGCTGGTGGGTAACCACCTGTGTACCTGGGCAGGAAGGAAGGAAAGTGGGAGAGCAGAGGAGACAACTCCTCTGATAGTGACCTCCCGATACCAGCATGAAGAATGTCAGTATGCTCACATGGGTTGAATATTGAGCAGCTGATGGGCTGCACATGCATTCCCTACTTCATCCCAAGGTGGGCTGCTCTTCCATCTACTTCCTGGGTGTCCTGCTTGCTGACAGATTCATTATCGTGAGTCTTCCATCAACTATAAGCTTGCAACAACAACACAGAAAAACATAACTGAAAGAAATGAAATAGTGAAAACTGAAAAACTGCAAAAAGAAGCAGCTATTTCTAAGGAGGGGGGGGGTGGTGTTTGGTTGGTTTGGTTTTTTTGAAGAGGCAAAGTGACTAGTGAAGGAGGAAGCAGGGGGGAGGGGGAAACAACACACTGAAAGACATCGCAGTAGAAAAACAGAGCTGTCAGTCAGGTCAAGCATTTCAAGACAACCATATTCCATTTACTTCTTACAGGAGGAGAAAGCCAAATAGCAAAACATCTTCTGAAGCAACACGGCTAGAATTGCCACTAGGCTACAAACATTTCAATGCTACAAACATGTCAAGCATACATTTAGAACAAATATCTAAACCTCTGACAGGTCATCACAGCATAATGAACAAATTGTCAGGATCAAACACTATTTATTTCAATCCACAGAGGACAGCAGTTTTGACAATTCTAATGCTACAGTTATGCTTACTGAGTTTATTCTGGTTATGTTAATTAAGCATTGGGAACTAACCAACTCCCAAAAAAGTAAAGCAAATATAATGTTAATTCAAGCTCTAAAGAAGTGTGTATTGTTTCAAAAGCTACTGCGTTGCATGTAAACAGCATAGACCATGTTGTAGGTATCATTAACCCCCAATTCTGTAAATATAATACTTAGCATGCCCAAGAGCCACTCCAGGGATCCTACCTAGCAGTGTGTTTGGATTGCTTTATCACCAAAACTACACTTCTTTATTCTAATTCAGCAAAAGAAACAAACTCTTGCACAAACAAATCCAGAAGGCAAAGATCTATCGAGTGTAGACCAATGTTATTCCCAAACTGGATATATCCCTAGCATCAGTGGGATTTATCCAAGACCACAGATCTACATGGATATTAGCAATAGCAGATCCCTTATTATTGGCAATCATGATTAAAAACAAATTAATTCAGTGGCAATTATCTTGGTCCGATAGTCTTTTTTGACCCAGCTGGTGTTTAGCAGAACATCCTGCAAGTTGGAAATAAATTTTGTTTGGAAATAATTGAGAAACAAGGAGGACACATGATGTAATTCTTGCGGCATAGCCAACACTCAAAGTGTTGGGACAATGCCTCCCAAATCTACCAGGTGGAGATGGAGATGCCTATTAAGTAGGTAGTGTAAGTACAGGTAGCAACTTTAAAGCACTAAAAGTGCTATATTAAGTGACTGACATAACCCTGCAATAACTGTTCCTATTGGTTATGATGTTGCAACCAGTCTACAATATACTAACTTATGAAAAATCAAATGTTATTGCTACCCCTGCATTAATGTTAACCTGTTAACACCTTAGCTGATGTTAATTTCAACTGAAGAACACAAACCAGGCTCGTTTTACCTTACAGAAGCAACAAGGAATATGCTCATTTAAACTGCACCCTGTGCAAAGGTATGAATGACTTACTAAAAACTTTCTACAAGGAACCATGAGAGATATTAATTTGTTCAAATGATTAGTAAAAAGAGATTTGCTTTTCAGATAAACAGCTTTAGAAACCAGTGTATTTTCTGCACTTCGTAAACTGTACTTTATTTGAACTTAATTTCAAGGAGTTTAAACTAAAGCAGGAAATAAGCCCTCAGCAGCACAGCCAGATTCATCCTCAGCATCTAGAGGACAAATTAAAAACAAAACAAAAACAAACAAAAAAAGTCCTCCTTGCCAAAGAACATAATTCTGCTGTCTCATTACTGTTTTGCTAAAATAATTTAATTAGCAGTCTTCAGATACAGGAAGGCATTTATGCTTCATCAGGAAAAGGAGGGCTGGGGGGGTGGTGAATGGTACGCACTGTTCTAGCATACCAGGGACACAGCATTGAATTCTTCCAGCTATCAGGCCAAAGCTGGATTGGCATACCAGAACTACACACTTTTTTGATTGGGGTGGGGGGGAAGCACCAGGCAGTCTAATATTTGCATACTCTTAACTGCAAGTAAGAAGAAACGGGTCAGCTGAGGAGCAGTGCTGAAGTATAATAGGTGAATTGGATACTGTGCTTCCCCCTCCCATGCACAATTAAAGTCCTAAAACCATCCCCATCTTTCATTACATTCTGCTCTTGTGGGTGCTGACATTTGTTATTAGGGAATCCCATATCTGAGGCTTTTATACGTAGCTATTTAGGCCGATTCCCCTAGGCTACTCCGTGCGACAGCATATTTGATTCCTGCAATAAAGTAATAGTGGAGGCTAATTTCAACATATGTTTTCTCTTCAGAAACTTTTAGATGGGAAACCTGCTTACAGCAGGACTGCACTTTAGATCTCCAGGACAGCAGAGGCCCCTACAAAAAAGTACCACCCTTTCCTAAAACTAGTTGTTTTCTATGGTTTACTGCCTACAGCGCTTAATTGCTCATCAATACCACGCACAAGCACCCTATGCAGGCAAAAGCCTATGCTTTTGCAAATCCTTGTTATGAGAGCACCTCTACCATCAAATCAGAAGAGCGCTATCCACATCCCCAGTTCAAATTTCTCATTAGTGTAGGAGTAACCAACTACTGAACAAGAAACTGAATTACAGTTTAGCTTGAAAATCCCCGGTATTTGGGAATAAACTGCTTCTGAACCCCTTTTTGGCTCAGACATCAGCTGTATTCAGCTGTACACAGGCATTTCTACAGCTCTCCAGTCCACTTTAGCCATATAAAAATAATTATCCAGAGCCAAACTGTATTCTAACTTCACTAGCATAATCCACAGATGGATAGGATAAGCCAAGTCTAAATGAACTGTCAGAGTCTGAATCGCGAGTTGAGATTAGCTAAAAATATTGCCATGATGCATAAACCCAAATAGAAACCTGCTCCATCTCCCAGGGCAGTATCAATTCTGCAGTCCCAACAGGTGTAAAAAATAATTCATCTTTGTCACTAAACTATACGAATATGCAGGAGGGGGAGGAGAGCTGTCGACAGAGAAGGGGCTATTTGTACATAAATGCTTCCATGCTGCGAAACAAATTTAAAGGTGCCAGGGTACAGAGCCATCAGAAGCCAGTTTCGTCACCCAGAGATTTCCAATGATCCTATAAATTCAATACCGTGAAGTCTGTCCCTGTATTTCATATGTGAAGTGCTTCAGCCATCTAAGGAAGGCTTTGAAACTCGGTCCACATTGAAAGACAAGACGTCCCTGAAAACATAGCTTTAAAGTAGGAAACTAGTTAGATAGTGCCTGGGTACAAAGATCACATTTGTTTTGACTTAGGTTCCTCAAATCCTTTGAATACCAGTTCAGAGCACACGCTCTATAAAATGCTCGTGAGAAACTGGCACGTTCACGCAGGCACATATTGATGAACCACTATTTACAACTACTGTCATTTAAGTGTCTTTTTATTGTAAATAGTGGGATTTGCAAGAACAGACACCAGAAGATCCTCAAGCTGCTAAGAGCTGCTGAATAAACAAGGGTAACAGGAGTGATTTTTCCTCGCTGCCTCCCATTTGAACTGGACAGGCTCAGCCCTGCGCAGAAAGCCGCTTGTTTCCTGCCAGCCTCCAACCACTGCATCTCTGTTTTCTGGGTAGGAGCAGGGAGGGGAATTCAAGGGTGGTTTCTTTCATATGTTGCATAAATAAATACAGATAAAACAACCATTTCAAATGAACACGTCCTGCCTAAGACAATTTTGTTGGAGCTTTCAGCCAATAAAGATTTATCTTCCTAGCTTCCCCCCCACAACAGCCCTCCATGCCACAGGGCAAGTTGAGCCCCAGCATCTGTAATTAATGGCTTTGCATACTTAAGTCTGAAGGCTGCAGGTTGGCCACAGCATAACAGATACCCACATGCAGGCAAAGAGGCAAAGGCACTTACCCGAGAGATAGACAGAGGCATGTTGAAATCCTTGCCCCCTTGAAGTCTGAAACCCCAAGGAGCCGGGCCGACCAAAGACACGCTGTAGTTGCTCATGATGTTTAGTATTCAAGGATCAAATCCAAAGGACCGATGCCTGTGGAAGAGGATTAGAGTTTTAATTTAAAGACGATAAAAACAAAAGGCACTGTCTACCATTCTGAAAGCCTTCTTTCTTTGTCTGTGTTCCCCTCCATAGTATAAAAACAGCCAGAAAAAACACACCAGGTCTGTCATTACTTGTGCTTTTATTCCTCATGTGTTGTTTTCCTCCATAGCTTAGGAAGAAACATAACTAGGGAACTGGTAACATGGACTTGGGACTTTGAGAACTTCCGGTGCCGAGATGTTTGACAACCACTTCTTACTAACAAAACACTGCATGGGGGGAAAAAAACCCACCCAACATTAAAGTTCATCTTAAAAAAGTCAATATTGAAACAAGCATGAATTTATAATATTCCTTAAATCCAAGTATGGAAGAAATTAGCACTACTGGCACATTCATTTCTAACAAAATGAATATCATATGCTGCCATGTCATCAGCTCAAAGCTTGTTTCTAAACACATTATGTCTTGACAGTTTGAAAACTATGTCAAAACATCGCAGCTTTGAAGTTAATCAGAAGAAAATAAAATCCCTGCGACTTTTTTATTTTTATAGCATAGCTTCATCTGGGTAGAACAATGCTACAGACAAAACAGATACTAAAAACAACCCGCAAATGAAAGCTGTGAACTAAAGCGAAATACCCACTGCCACAACTTAACGCTGAGGCAGCAAAACCAAAGCAAAACCCAAGCATCTCCCTCCCCTCCCCACAGACGTGGGCAACAAATTACCTTTAAAAGGCAACCGAGGCACTTAATTGCCGTTCAGCGTCAAAGATAAGGGCTTCAGTTTCACCTCAGATAAGTAATGTTACAATGACATCTTAGGTAGTGGATCCCGTCTATTTTTGTATGGTTGAAGCCAGGCAGGAGCACACCAGGGCGGGCTGGTGTAAGACTACACCGGGGCACAGCCAGATTCCATACTCTATAGGGACATTTAAGGTGGACCTTCAGTCAAGCAGAAGCAAGCGGGCTGCAAACCCCACCGAGCTCTGCAAAGCCCGGTCTGCCGGGGGTGGGTGGGTGTGGGGGTGGGTGGGTGGATGTGGGTGTGCGTGTGTTATTTTTTTGGAGGCAGCAGATTTTTGCAAAGGCAGCCCAGCCTTGCGAACCTTCAGAGCGGGGCTGTCGTGCAGCCCCCGTGGGTGCAGGGAAGGACATTTAATGTCGCTCCCTGGGAAAGCCATCAGTAACAGAGGTTTCTGGGTTTACCTCCCAGAGCCACAGAGATCTGCTGCTCAGACCTGTTTCTAAAGCAAACAGCAAACTTTATTCACACCGGTGGCCACTCAGGTAACCAGAACGGGGCTGCTGGCATCAGGCAGAACAAGATACATATTAGGAAGCAGAATTCGGAGCTGGTGACAGAGGTGCCTGGGTACCTGGGCAGCTCCTGACGTGCCCCTGCCTGTTGGCACCCAGCAAAGGGGCAGCTCTGGCCCAGGCACTGACTCGACCCACCCTTAAAAGTCTCAACAAGCACCAATGTACAGAGAGGGAAACGCACACGGCTGAGCTTCATGTGGCTGAAGAGGGAAAAAAAAGGAAACAAAAAACCTCCACCAAGTTTGAGCTAGGACTCTTACGGGGCTCGCTCACCACTAAAGCAAGAACTACAAGTCGTTTAATTGCTCTGTGCACTGAATTCCTTATAAAGAGGATCTTAATTAGTCACAGATTTCTTTCCATATAAAAATACAAATTCTTGTCATTCCCTCTAAATGCAATCCACTGCAGTGACAGGTCACTATAAATTAGAGACTGCAGAAAAGCAAGCCACATCTAGCGACCAGCACACATGCAGTTCATCGGCACAGGCAGAAGGCTTTACTTACCAATTAAAACTGAAGCACTTGTGTATCGCTTTTTTTTTTTTTTAAACTGAGTAACAGCTAGTTACAATAACAGATCTAGGAAAAGATTAAGGTATATTAGAAAAGGATACTGTTCTTCATTTGTAGCGGCTACAAATAGGAGGGAAGAGACTGCAACCTGAAAAGCCATGCATCACTAAGCATCACTCATCTTTCCTTTCTCACCCCCTCGATTCTGCCGTGTCTGCATCTCTAGGCTTACAGATACACCGGGAAGGAAGTGCAGACAAAGGAGATCTCTTCAAAGTTTAATTTAACAGATTTCTTAAAATACGTTAGAGCAACATCTAAGAGAAAGCATTGCAACCCACCAACCCCGCTTCACGGGGGAACATTGTGCAAACAAACCAGCCAAGGATGAAATTGTGCAACTTTCACTTAGATGATCAAACGCTTGGTGGATCTACTTCTGGAAGGGGGAATTTCAAAACCCAGGCAGAAATGCTCGCCTTCACCACTGCTGCCCGGGCACAGAGCCCCAGGGGTGGCTGTGCCTGGTGGGGCAGCGCCAGCACAGGCCCCCGTACCCCCCTGCACCTCCTTTGCCCAGCTGCCCCACCGAAAGGCTCTAAGCGCTCCGGGACGAGGAGCCCCACGGCTACCGCAGGCTGGGGGACCAGACAGCCCCACAGAGCGCTGGGTCTTGGTCCAAGGCGTCCCCACAGTCCCAGACCCAGACCCAAGGAGCCCCGCAGCCCCAGACCCAGGCCCAAGGAGCCCCACAGCCCCAGACCCAGGCCCAAGGAGCCCCACTGGCACCCCAGCCTGCAGCCCCACGGGTGCCACAAAGCCTGGGGGCCAAGGCGCCCCAGAGCCCCGTGCCCGAGCAGCCCCAGAGGCAGCCCAGCAGGCTCGGCCCAGGGCACGGA